CCTCGTAATCTCCATTACTCCTCTTCCTCCAAAGAAATCTCTTTGCACAAGGCAGGAGGGAAGCATCCCGTGGCGTGGACCTAACGTAACCCTCTTGAGGACAGTGTTAGCAGAGCAAGGCAGGCGCAGAGGGGCCTTTCGGAGGAGGCGCTGGTGGCTGTGAGTGCGGCGAGGAGCCCGCTCCTGCCCGGAGGAGCCTTCTCTGGGGTCTTTGTGCTTCACTGTCCGCTGATCTAACCCGCTGCAGGAGCCGGGCTGGCAGCACAGGCGCACACCAGCCACCCGGTGACACCTTCCGTTTTTGAAGCTCAGCGGGATCCTGCTCATCTGCTGAAATGGCCGAGGAACAATCCAAGGAGGAAGCCCAAGGAATTTGCTCAGTCTTTCACAGCAGGAAAGACACCATATCATGTCAGAGTTGTTTCCAAATAATATCTCTAGATAATGAGGGACTCGGATCTCTAAAACAGAACAGATCACTTGAAGCATGGCAGTGAATGAAATGTTACAGGATTTTCTCTTCTCTTGACGTAGACTAGGTGCCATTCAAGAGATGGTGCTATAAGAAATGCTACAGTATGTTTTGGTTGAGCTGCTCTATCTAAGCAGTTACAGACTGTCACCGCTGTATCGGAGCGACAGGGAATGAAACGGACACGGGCATCATTAAATCAGGTATCACCCCTCCGTCGCTGAGAGAGGGCTTTTCACAAAAGTTTATGCGACTAGTTTGTACTTTTATTGCAAACCTTCAAGCTGCCACCAGAAAGTTCGATCCTATAAAGAATTGAGTGTCCTGGCCCTGATCCAGAAAACCACTTAAGGACATTCCAAAGTGCTTTGCTGGATGAGGTCCAGAGCTGAGCAATGCTCAGGAGCTAGCTCTCCACAGTAGGGACCCTCTCTGTTTTTTTTGGTATTTATGAAGGAATCCCCATGATACTTTATTACAGTCTGTGTACGATGAAATGAAACAATAGATGAGACCCCTAAAAAGAAGGGACAAAACACGAACAGAGTGAAAACAGCTTTGTAGAAATCTAATGAAAGCTCCTATGAGAACCTCCTCTTTGGTGAGGCAGGACAGTGATTTACTGGGGAACCAGCAGGTAGAATTTGTCCTGGTGGTAATTCAAGTTTCCTGTGAAGTGCTCTGTTTCACAAGGTGCTGTTGGTTGGATCAAATGGTGTTTTTCTCAGGCTACTGGTTGTTTTGGGGGGTAAATAATCTACAGTGAATTAGATATTTAGAATTAGATGATTAGAAACAATCTGTGATGAGAAGATTATTTAATATTTTCCCTTTTGGGTGTCACCTAGGAAGTTCTTAAGAATTATCATAGTTGTTGAGGGATAAAGTGAATTCAGGAGAACATTTTAGGCAGGACGCTGCAGATTGCACTTGAACAACCTCTCTGGTCTTTTTGAGAAGTGGCAGTTGGTTTTGCTGGCTTTCGTTGAAATCAAAGGAGAAGTATACTGCTTTTGATGAAGTAGGTCAGAAATATGTTTCTAATAGGCAATAAAATCCCAATCAGTCCTTCAAGTCTCTCTTTAAATCAACACCTTCCTATGCGAAGACACTAACAGTGACTTCATAGCGATGTGACGAAACCCTCCTCAAAAGAGGGATGATTCAAAGAACAAACGGGAGCACGAAAGAAACGAAATTAGAAATCAGGTTATTGTATTTTACTCTGTTAAAGGAGCAGTTGTGAGGTGGTTGCTCCCTCACTTCGGGGTGCCGGGGCTTTGCCTTGGTAGGACGTGGGGTGACGGTTCGTGCTCGGATGCAAGAACAACTCCGGTAGGAGATGGATACCCCTTAGCTAAGGGCAGGGGGGAGCAGCTGAGGCTGAGTTTAACAGGAGCAGACTTGCCCCAGCCTCGCAGGCGCTCGCCGAGCGGATTTGCAGTGCTGCAGGTGACATTGTTGCTGACTGAAGAATGTTCATCACATCAGAAAACTGCTGAGGAGCTGACTTTCCCAAAAAGGAATCTCCCAAACTTCCCTCGTAAATCTCGGCCTTTCATGCCATGCTCCGAGGTGAGGTAGAGGACTTGTGACAGATACTATTTAGGTTTTGCTTTCGTTTATTAGGATAATCGAATGGAGCTTGAATCTGGAAACATCTCTTTATGGTCTATCTATTAAATCTGCATGAAAGAATGAACATACTCAAGCATGAATTTCCCTTTAAATGTTTGAGTAACTCAAAAATATACCCTTGGAAATAGTTAGCTTTCCTTTAAATATGCAGTTTTGCTGCACTAAGGGAATAATGACGATTTATTTATAAACATGGGTATATTGACCTACGATCATCCAGGTTCTCTTGTTAAGAATCTATTACTGCAGAACTGAGTATTTCACAAAGGAAGTGCCATGACTAACTCGTTCAGTGGTTTGGATAGTTGCAAAATATAGTTGTTAGCAAATTTATATAAGGTCTAACAAAATTTAAGGACTAAAGCAATATAGTCTTTGTTGTTGTTGCGAGGCTTTCTTCAAGCTGTTTTGATTCCATTTTTGAAAGTTTAATTTCTGAACTAAAAGATTGCTAGAAGTGAGTATGAATTTTGTTGAAGTTTCCATTAATACTATTTGTAAGCCAACCATAGCTTGGAATGTTTTTCCAGGAAAGCTTGTTTTTTGGCTGTGGGTTTTGATTATAATTCTGTAACCAGGTTCACATTCGTGAGCTTCAGGACTTGCTTGTGTGAGTTTAGCTTCTAGCCAGCAGTGACATTTGGTGCGATTTCTTTTACCTTGCCCTGTAAGAGAAGCAGATAGCATTGTGGCAAAATTGCCAAAGAATCATGTTAAATAACCAGGTAAGAGGCCCATTCTTGTTGTACCCATGCAGTTTTCCTTTAAAGCTCTCCTTTGCATAGAGGGAAGAGATTTTAAAGCATCCGTAACTGGAATTTAATTCATGTTTCCTGGAAATCTTGTGATTGTCTCATTGTACGACTACTAATAATTTGCTAGTATTACTAAAACAGTATCTTTTTACTGTCTCTCTCCTGCATTTGGTAGTGGATGGATTTAGTGCCTATGAGGTATTCTTTCTAGAGTGTGTAAAATTGGGAACGTTTCTTTTTGTGACACTCTGATCACTGAACCTAAGAGCAGACTGAAAGCTCCGATCAGGGCCCTGCACTTCACAAAGTTGCTCGTGGGGCCCCCAACAGACACATGTCGTTGCAGAAGATGCTAGCTGAATGTTCAAATAGATATTGTGTGTCTTCTTATTTAACTTGGATGAGTGAATGATACATTTTGAAAAGCATCAGCGGGTGAAATGCTTTGCTGGGTGTTAAAGAATAATTAGAACAAGAGATCTGGGTAAGAAAGACTTTCTATGAACTAGACCTGAATAGTTTAGTTTTATGCCTTATGTGCTATAGGACCTTCAGAGTTGTTGAGTAGCAAACATAAAGTAAAAAAGATAAATCGAATTAATTTATTTTGAATTTATATACATGCCTCTGCTTGCATTAATATTAACTTCCATCCAAAATCTAAACAGAGAGATTATAATCTTAGAAGTTCTCTCAATAGCATCAGCAAATCATTCTTGTTTACCCTACATGCTAATAAAACAGGAACATGACACTCCTGAAAACAAGATTGCAAAATACAGAAAATGTGGTCTGACATTTTTTTTCTCCCCAAAGGAGGGACTGCCACTAACTAAAGTATTTCTTATGAAAGCTCGATTGCTTAAGATGCAGAATATTAAGAGAGAAAAACACTTTAGGACACAGCCATGTCACCAGCTGTTACTCACCCTTAATGAAATTGTTAAGTGATATTCTTCATAAATAGGTCAGAGAAACTTTTGAATTGTGAAGAATGTTTTATCTCGTTCTTTGAAATGTTTGTATTAAATTTAGAACGGGTAATTCATTAAGCTCATTAGCTCTGACTAGGAGAGCAGAGCAAAATATCTAGGATATAGATTTCAAGGCTTACAAATGTTACTGCTTACAAATAAACATGAAAGCAATGTGTGGAGGAAAAAAATATGGGACCATAATATGTTTAACTGTTTTTTGAGCGTAGCCCTCTGGATTAATTAAGAACATTTTATATATTCAGACACTTAAATATAAACAGAATACATTATGACTTTGTTAGCTCTGCTTTAATAGGAAAAAGGGAATGCATTATGATGAATACAGTGAAAACTAGATGAAATCATATTTTTATTTTTTATTATTTTGTTTGTTTGTTTGCTTCAGTTAGGAGACTATCACTGCATATTAAAGCACCCCAACTCCAAACTATATAATTTCTACTTCCAGTTGATGTAAAAGTTCTACCAAAAAAAAAAATCTAAAAAAAAAAAAGTGTGCATACTTTGGGGTGACCTGTTTTTATTTGCAGGCTTGTAAGGCTGCTGCAACTTTTTAAGCCAGATAGTTTTGTTACATTCTAACATTTGTCGAGAGAGGGAGTTGGGGAAATCAAGGACCTGGTGCTTGGGAACCATGGTGGAATGAGAGTCTTTCAGTCATGGAGAGCTTGAAATATCTTTCCAGCATTTTAAATATACCAGGTACCTTCAGTTCCTTTCCCACTTGTGTTCCTGCTGCTCGTTCTGTCAATGATTCGGGGTTGTAATGAACATCTCAGCATTCCCCCATCCCTCTTCTATAAAATGGGCACGGCAGCACCTACCTGACTAAAGACTTTGAGGTTTTTGCTGCAAAGTAATTTCAGATGATTGTTGTGAGTTGTTTAATTTGTAGTTTAATTTGCCAAGTGGACATTACAAAGAAGCAGGTAGGTGCTAGAGGTCTGTGGAGCCTCGTAGCTGTGAACCTCAATACGTGGGGCTCAGTGAGTGAGTTCTCACAGAAATCTGGTGCTAAAACAAGATGGGTTTTCAACACTACCTGCCTCCGTGTGCCTGCTGTACGTGTCCAGTGATCCCTCGGTATCTGCAATGCACTTGAACCCTCTCTAAATTTAAATCCTTGTATTTCTTTAGGTAAATCGTCACAGAAGAAATCATTCCCAACATAACTTAACACTTGCAGACATCATTAGTACACAGGACCACACGGTAAGCGATTGCTCTATAGAACTGATAAATCACTCTTGGCATTTTAAATGTTTTTAATGTATATGTTACACATGCTTTCTTAAAAATAAATATGCGAGGCTTTGGATGCCTCGAGACATTAAGGGATTTGAGGGAGTTTTATTAATCAACACAAAGAATAATTTTGGAACATACAAAGCAATTTATATAGCTTGACTTTGCTGTGATGCGGGACTGACATTTCATCAGTATTAATACTTGATGTAAAGAAATGTAACTATGTCTTTGTCCTGTCTTTGTCCATGGTAATGTGTTGTTAATATTTATTTTTGTAAGTAAAAATGATCATTAAATTTATTACAGTTTTCCTGCTCCCTTAAGAATTTAGTGGGGAGAGGATATTTTGTCTGTTAAAATAAAATGAATGTGCCAATGCAGATTCATCAAATAAAATGGTACTTTTACCTATAAAAAAAATCAGTATTAGATAGGATTTGAAGCTTTGAAAACCTTTGATAAAGAAAATTATAGCGCTGATAAAGGTAGGTATTTATAAGTTAATTATTGACAATATAGTAATAATCACTTTTACTTATACTATTTCAATAGTTATTTCATGCAAGTCTTTTTTTTTTTTTTTAACTAAAATGAGATAAAAATGCAAATATATATGTTTGCATACTGTCATATTTAGTACTGTCATAAATCACAAATTAAAAAAAGAAATAGCTCCATTCTTGTTTTTCTATGCTAATTCTTTCAGGGTATTTTGGGTCATTTTCTTAACCTTCCTTCTGTTGAAAAGGTTCAGTAAGGGCAGCAGCTCAGCAAGAAATGATGATATTTATTGAGACAGAAAGAAGAGAACATATTGTTAGGATATATTTGGTATCTTTTTAATATCATCCATTTGCAGGACTGAAAGTAGATTCTGACCTGTTTTGGAAGTATTTTCTTGAAAACACATTCAATAGGCAAATACTGACAGATGTGAAATAAGGGCATATTTAGCTCTCCATACAGAGAATAACTAAATATTCGTGTGAGCCTTGAAATCCTTTTCATTTGCCTTTGTGATAAAGGCTTTTTTAAAATTATTATTATGATTATTCTTTATACTAGTTAAAGAAAACACTGTATACACTATTAATTAAAAAATCCTTTACCAAAGAAATGGCTTACATTTAATTACTGTATGTGATATATATAAAGTTACTTTATTTAACACTAGGAGAGTGTTCATATTATCTAAAGATCTTGCAGTTTTTAGCTGTTTAATTTAAAACAAATGTTTTAACCACTTGGGATATGCAATTTAAACTCGGATACGTTATATATCCAACATTTGGTAGTGGATTTGATGTTCCAGCTCAAGACCATTATTAGGAAAATCTGACTTCAGAACAACATTTTCATCTGGAAACACATCCAATTTTTAACTTCACAAAATGTTAGCTTAGAGGTGATTCAGATCTAATATTGAAAATCACATTTGCCTTTAGTTTTGGATTGGTTATAATAACAGTCTGGGAAGAGCAATTGGTAAACTTAGAGAGGATCAGATTTTGGGTCTGATTCAGAGAAGCAATCAACAGCCTGAATGGTCAGCCAATGCTCCTCCTGATTTCTGTTTCCAGATGGATGGAAATAGTAAAAGAATAACCCTTTTTTTTTGTATGTTATTTGGCAACTCTGGCCCTGGCCACGCATCAAAAGTGAAGGTTTGTTTTTTTTCCCACAAAAATGAAGGTTTAGAATGGGGGCAAAATTACTCAAAGAAGTAAATTAAGTGTGTGTTTTAAGTTAAGGAGGTTTCTTTTTCCTGTAGGTGGAGATCAGGTTTTCATCTTATTTTAGCTCTAATAATTCACTCATGTGTCACTAGATAGTCGTGACATTACTCTTCCCAGTAATCCCTCCATAGTTTCTCCCTGGGTTTTCTATGCAATGATATGTGTGACAGGAATTTGCATGAGATGAGCACAGATTATGGAATGAGGTAACTACAGATTATGGAATATGCACACCCAAATCCCCACGCTCCCCTTTGAGAGTGTCACCTCCCTTGTTGTCCACAGGCTTTTCCATAGGCACAGATAGGTGTGCAGTGTGTATTTCATGATGTGCTGCAAACCTGCAACAGACAAAACCTGTGATAAATAATTGCTAAAGATGATAACAGCAACCCAAGATATTCTGTGCAATCCAAGTAACAGGCATGTTTAACAGAACACTCCCTGCTGAATGTTAAAATCCATCTTGCTGCTATTGAATAACTTTGCGAATGGCAATATTTTATTGTAATTATTATGAAATCACTTGTGACGCAACTAAGAAGACCATATGGTCTAATATCCTGGTCAGGTCCTGATACTGATTTGAAAGGGAAAATCATCCCTCTCTGAATCTTGGTGTTACCTCTTGAAGCACTTGAGAATCCTGACACAGTTGGGTCATCCTTAGCCAGTGAGGTCTGGTGGGAGAGCGAGGCAGCTGGTTTGGCTGAAGAGCAGTGGGAAACTTTTCTGGTTTTAAGCCCTTTAATATATATTATCACAGCTAAGCATTTAATCCAAAATTCTGTTAAAATATTTTTGCTTTGGTTTCTACAGGTACGTAAGGGATGTTCCGGTAGCCTGTGTAGAACCATATATCTAATGTAGGGGGTATTATTTTCCTGCTGGTTTAAGGAAAGTGGGTCTGGAGATGTGGATTGCAAGCCAAGGATTTGCTTCTCATGCGCTGAAACTCCAGTGCAAACGTTGATACGTTTGACTACAACATCCGGTTGTGGGGTGTGTCAGAAGAGTCCTTCCCTTTCCTGTTGTGTCAGGGCAAACCACTAGGTCTTAGTTTAAAAATATATATATATA